TGTAGCTAGCATCAGAGGTCTTGCCTAGCATGTATAAGGACCTGGGTTCAATGTGAGGAGGGAGTGGTAGGGAAATAGGAGAGTAGGAGAGGAAATGCATATAAGTTATTTAGAGCACATGCATGCAGAGTTTCTATACATTTGGAGTTGCAGCAGATACTACTGCTGGTTAATGTCTTTGAATTATTTATTTTTATTTTACATGTAAGAGTGCTTGCCTGCATGTATGTACACCATGTGTATTCAGTACCTTCAGAGGCCAGAAGAGGGCACTTGAGTTACAAATGGTTGTAAGTCATCATGTGGTTGCTGGGACTTGAACCCAGGTCTTCTGGAAGAGCAGCCAGTGCTCTTAACCATGGGGCCATCTCTTTAGCCTCCGTTCCCTTCATTTTGCCTGCTGTCATCTAGTAGAAGTACTGGAGAACTAAATCTTTCTTTTTCAAACAGAGTGTTACCTTGTAGCCCAGGCTGGCCTAGAATTACGTAGCCTGTAACCTTGGATCTATGGAAATTCTTTTGTATTAGCTTCCTGAGTACTGGGACTACACATGACATCTGGATAAATCATCTTAACACAACATAAAACAAAAACAAAACAAAAGAAACCCCACCAACTTTCACAGGTATAATGTCTACAAAATACTTTCCAGAAATGTTAATGGCTTTGACCTGGGTATTCTGAGAGCACCAAACGCTAACTGCTATGGCACCAGGAGCATCTCACCTGGGTATTTTGAGATCCACAAGTTTACAGTTAAATAGCTGCTCAATAAGCACCAAATTTTCCTTCTCCAGTTCATGAATACAATTTTCCAGTTTTTCAACTTCCTTCTTGTGGATGGAAATCTGTTTGCAGAAGAGGGGAAGGGTGGGTGTTGGCACTTACTAGCTTCACTCAGTAGCGTCTTCTATAGCAAATTTGACTCCTGAAAGCACACTGGCCTGGGGGAAGAGCTATCATTTATTATTTAGTACTGGGTTCTCCTGGCCCTTCTGTGGTTGAGAAGGAACAGTGGGACTGTTTCGTAAGTCATAAGCAGTTCTGGTAGGTAGTTATTACAGAGCAGAACTTGTCCTCTCCTACCCTTCAGAGACATGGCTCAACTTAAAGATAAGCTAGAGGCAGACATAGGAACACAGAATTCATTTAGCAATATGATATATTGGCCAGTGAATGAGACTGTCTCTAAAAGTGATTATAAATAAGACTACAAAAACATACTGGAATAATTGATGTATATGGTGGTATTTTTTTTAATGCCTAAAAGCCCTTTCTTCCAGCCCCTATATTAGGATTATGCTCTCTTTGAACCTGGTCAGTTCTGAAAAATGCCATACATATGAAATATTTGCCAGTTCATTTATTCTGTTGCACTGAACCCTTACTGTGTGCCATAAAACATATTACAAATGATCAAGATACAAAATTAATGTAGCAATAACATCTCTTAGCCTTATGGGCAAAAGTGCTGACAGAAGATGAGGTGATAAAAACCTGAACGGAAGCTGGACAGCTGCCAGCTACTCTGGGATGAGGAGGATGAAGATGCCGGGATGATGAAAAGCTGACAGAGAAGACATCTAATTCACATCTGAAAACAAAGCGGAACTTTATGTAGATACAAGTCGTGTCTCCTGGGAAGCAGGAGCCAAGTCTGCAAAGGCACAATGAAGGTGGGAGTGGGGATGAGTTGGGGACCAACTGGACAACTAAGAAAGGAACAAATACTGCCCAAGACTCTGGTTTTTGTCCTCAAGGTGACAGCAAGTAACCACCAGATGGGGCATACTTAGTGAAAAAACTGAGTCAAATGTGAATAGAATTTGCCATATAGGCATAGTTTAGTTGATGGAATACCTATCAATGTTTTAAAAGCGTGTTTGGGACCTTCAGTCTAAAGAAGGCTGGCAGCCATGAGCATGCTTCAGCTTTAGAAGAGGCATTCCTCTGTGTCCTACACTGTGATGTGAGGATCTGGAAGGACCCCAGGAAACCAATGAGATCACCATGACACCACCATTCATTTGGTAGATTCAGAAGCTGGTGAAAGATGGTCTGATCATCTGTAAGCCTCTTATTGTCCTCTTCTGGTCTTGGTGGCCAAACAGCACCCTGTCCTATGGGATGGGTGGGCATATAGGCATAGGTAAGTGGAAGGGCTTGGATGTCAGCAAAGAAGGGAAGGAGGCTGACTATCCTCCTTGGGCTGCTTAGGAGATATTGTGACTCCAAGAATGGTTACCTCATGTGTCACAGCCTGTATCTCAAGGTGGAGAGGAATATATTCCAAACCAAGAACACTGCCATCTGCAGGCTGAAGACAGGCCAGGCCCACAAGAAGCTCCTGCAGACTAAACAGCAAGCAGGTCTAAGACTGAGGAAGTGTTTCCAGGCGAAGAAGAGCAGCATCACTAAGACCAGGGAGCAAGAGACCAAGACACAAAGCCCCTGCCTCTTGTCTGCTTAGTGCCTTGGTGTTGGCTTGCTGACTGATCACACAGATCAGTCATTAGCATAAGACAACCCTTTATCACATACATACAAAAATATGAGAAAAGAAGGCTCATCAGAGGAAAGAACACAGAGGTTACTTGGTGAGTTATGTTATACAGGCATTGATGGCAGCAGATGCTCATGGAAGCAATCAAGGCACTAGATTTAAAACTAAGTATAAAATCGAGTGTGGTAGATTGCTGGGAATAACAGAAAAATGGGAGGAAGTAGAAAGTTTTGAGGGAGTGTAAACAAAGAGCACAGAAGCTGAAACTCATGTCTTCAGGCCAGGAGAAGCTGATGGCATCTGCCCTGTTACTGAGAGTCAGTGGTAGTTGGAAATCTTGAAGCATCTACATTAGCCATTTATTAAATACATGGGTTCTCATGTAGGCAGGCTTCTGAGGTGCCCTGGCTAGTTTTATTACAAGACACAAGTTTTATTACCTGACACAAGCTAGAGTCATCCAAAAGGAGAGAGCCTAAATTGAGAAAATGCCTCCATAAGATCAGACTGCAAGCCTGTGGGGCATTTTCTTAATTAGCGATTAATGTGTGTGGGCCCAGCCCATCCTGAGTGGGGGCCGCCCGTGGGCTGGTGGTCCTGGGTTCTGTAAGAAAACAAGATGAGCAAGCCATGAGGAGCAAGCCAGTAAACGGCTCTCCTCCATGGACTCTGCATCAGTTCCTGCCTCCAGGGTCCTGCCCTGCTTGAATTCCTGTCCTGACTTCCTTCGATAATGAACAGCAATATAGAAGTATAAGCCAAATAAACCCTTTCTTCACAAACTTGCTTTTGGTCATGGAGTTTCATCACAGCCAGACAGAAATTGGTACCAGGATCTTAGGGTTTATTTCTGGGCCACACCTGACCATGCTGTTTTTGGGGAAGAGTGTGAAAGGACTTTGGAAGTTTGAGCTAAAGAGCTGTTGCGTGTTCAAAGCTTGGTGATCTGTTCTATGGGAGCTTAGAAGGTAAGAATGTTGACAGCAGTGCAGATGATGGAGACCTGGCTGTGAGGTTCTAGAGGGAAATTTGAGAGCTGTTTAAAGACTCTGTTGCAGACATTGCATATGTTAAGAGTCTGTGCTCTGGTTGGCTGGAGTTGAAGAATCAGCTGTGATTAACAAAAGACAAGAATCACTAAAGTAAAACCCTTTGCTTTACTGGGACAATTGATGATGGTCATCTGAAGCTAAGAAATTAGTGGTGATTAAGAAGAGACAAGGGTCACTGAGATGAAATATTCTACGAAGTGTCTCCTCAAAGCCAGCACAATATAGGACACAAAGGTAGTCAAGACTCAACCCTACCCCAAAGACAGCTTCTAACCCAATTGACAAGCCACCTCTCTCTGTCACAACTCAGACTGCTGGCTTAGAGTTGGGAAGGAAGACAAACAGTACTTACCTCTCTCCAACATTTAAGTTCATAGCATGCCAGTGGTGGGTGTTTAGGGTCTTAGATGTTCAGAGATGACTAACTTGATTACAAGTTCAAATGCTTTTAAGGAAAGTTTTTTTTTTTCCAAAGGATGAGGAAGACATTATAGAGGCTGTACACAGAGGAAAATATAGAATGTTGGGAGGATGCCTGGCCGTGGGCTGGGCATGCATTGGAGGCAGCACACATAGTTCTACTCTTTCCAAAGTAGGCAACAAGATAGCTTTGCAGGGGTTTAGGATAGCCTACGACATCACTTCCCTCTTTCACAGTGTCCAGTGATGTTGACATCTATTGCTGACTCTCCTGGGCTTTTGAAATACCAAGGAAACAAATAATCATATAAAGGCTCAGATTTCTGGGTTAGGAACATCAAAGGGAAGAAAAGGTGGCAAAACCCCACTTCCCTAAATACCTAAGAAATGTAGAGATCAGTACAGACAATTCACACTATTCCAGCCAGGGATCTAGGGGCCTGATTCAAATGAACACACTTGGCCTTTCTTCTGCAGGGTCCATGTGAGCCCTAAGCCTCTTTGAGATCATGAGCCTCTGGCTCCCCTGGTCTTGTTTCTCTGTGTTAAGTTGGTGTAAGTCATTTGGGACTTTCAGTTGTCTTCATTTTCCTAATAAACACACTGAATGAAAACACACAACAGAAATAATGCACCAAGATGTCCTGCACCCTTCCTGTATATCTATGCTCTGAGTTTTTTCGCTGAGAGAGAATGGAGAATTCTCAGGGGTCCCATCCTTAGTAATGCTTTTAAGCCATTACAGGCCTCCCCCAAAGAAATGAATCAACTTAATTGTTCTGTTTCTGAGCAACTCTTGAATGCAGTGATGAACTTATAATAAGAAATAGTTTTCATTAATTTTTAAGTAAATTTAATCATGCCAAGTTTAATATTTATTGTAATAGAGAAATTAAACCTATTGAATTTCCCTAAAATGCTTTGCCCTTTATTTCTAAGCTCTGTGATTCAATTAAACTTGGCATTTTCCCTTTTATTTCCAGTGAATTATAAGAAGTAAAAAAAAAAAAAAGAAAGAAATGAAACCAAACATAACTGGAGGTCTCAGCAGAGTCAGGCAGCCAATACAGCCTTTCTTATCAGCCAAATATAGATTTTTTTTAAAGTCATTTTGCTTAAACCTAAGGTCTGTTACATTTTATAAAACCAAGAGTTGAATAGTTATTATAATATCATACCATTGTACTTAACAAAAGTATAATAAGTATTTTAATACATCATAATTATTAACCCATTTGAGTTTTAAATCATTAATATTTTGCTTACATTTTTTTTTGAGATAAGGTCTTATGTGCAGAGGCCTTATCATGTAGCCTTGAACTTGCTATATAGCCAAGAATGACCTTTAATTTCAGCTCCCCCTACCTCTATCTCAAAGTCTTGTTTAAAATAGGATATTCATTGTAATTATTTGGGAGTAATAGTATGAACTCATATAAACATGACTTTACAAAGGTAATTTGGCAGTTGTTGTCAGGGTGACCCTGGTAGCACAAGTCTCCAATTCTAGCTACCCCAGAGGCTGAGACAGGGAATTGCAAATTTAAGCTATATGCGAACTACAGAATGAGTTCAAGGGTAGCCTGGGAAACCTTGTCTCAAATATGAAAAGGGCTGGGGCATAGTTCGGTGGGAGTGCTTGCTTAGCATGCACAAGACTCGGGTTCAATTTCCAACACAGAAAACAAAACTTCTAAAAGGATTCGGGTGGAGTTAAGTGGTCAAATCCTTACTCAGTGTGCCCAAGGCCCCCAGTTAAATCCCTTAGCGCCCCTCTCTCACACACAGTAAAGCTAGTTGACAATATCACAGAAATGGTATACAATTTGTCTCCTAGTTTTCTAGAACCATTAACTGCTCATTCAGATGGGGA